TCCCTCTCCCAACCCCCACCCTGGAGACAACCAAGGTAATCAGGTGTTTGTGGGATCTCACAGAGCACACCTATACATGCACACATATGTGCTCACACACTATTATTTTTCTCCCTTTTTTTTTTTTGAGAGTGAATGTTTTCTCTTTAAAATTTTTTTTTCTTTATTAAAGATTTTTAGAGAGAGAGGAAGGGAGAGGGAGAGAAAGAAACATTGATGAGAGAGAACATCGATTGGCCGCCTCCTGCATGCCCCCCCACTGGGGATCAGACCCACAACCTAGGTATGTGCCCTGACTGAGAATCGAACCAGCAACCTCTTGGTGTATGGGTTGATGCTCAACGACTGAGCCATTCCAGATGGGCATATTTTTTCCCCTTTTTGACACAAATGGTTACATCCCATACACACTGCTCTGTGCCCTGCTTTGTTTATACTTAACAATATATTCTGAATATCATTCTATATCAATACATAAACAGCATTCTCATCCTTTTTTATGGCTTCATATTATTACTTTCTTGTTTTTAATATTTGTTTTCTTTATGAATTTTAGAGAGAGAGGAAGGGAGAGAAGAGAGAGAGAGAAACATCAATGAGATAGAACATCAACTGGCCGCCTCCTGCATGCCCACACTGGGGATTTGGCCCACAACATGGGCATGTGTCCTGACCAGGAATCAAACTCGGTGCGTGGGTCAACGTTCAACCACTGAACCACACTGGCTGGGCCATATTATTCCTTTCTATGATATACTGTATATATTTCTGACCCAGTCCCCCAGGGATGGACAGTCATTTGAGGTCAGTTCTATTATTATCTCCATTCTGCAGTGAGGCAACTTAGGTGCTGAGAGGTTCATCTGTTTCCCCGCGATTGCTCGGCGAGCTGCTGGCGTGAGAACTCCATGCCCTTAACCGCACACTTGGCACTCCTCCTCCTCCCGGATTAGTTTCCCACCCTTATTTCTCCCTCACTTCTACAGTCTTAGCAATTATTTTGCTGTCCTTTTGTTCATGCAAATAACACATATTTAGAAGCCCTGACCTTGTGCCAAGCAGGACTAGGCTCAGAGGATGTGGAGGGACATGACAGAGACGTCCTCTGCTACCCAGGAGCTTGCAGAGTAAGTCTTTGTGTGTTTTTTATGGCCACTTCCAATCTTCCACGGAATGATGAGAGAATTAATAAAACAGCTGGTCCCTGTTTTTTACTAATGAGGAAACCAAACGTGCCAACACATTGCTGTTAAAATCCCGTGAGCTGAACACCATAAAAGAAGCCTGGGAACCCACACTCCGACCTCTGCAATGCTGGCCCTATCCCCCTAGCCTGGCCCTCCTCCAATTTCCCATGTGTGAAAGGCCCGCCACCCAGCCAGTGGATAAAGCTCTCTGGGATTGGCTCTGCCCACTTCCATCCCCAGGTCATCCACCCTGTGGATGAGACCACCCCCTGAAGACCTCTGGACTCTGCCCAACTTCACTCTCCAGGACTACCAGCCTTGCCAGGGGCCTTCTCTTATAGGAGTTACCCCATGACTTCCTCCCTGGTCTTCTTGTCTCCACCCCAGTCTCTTCCCATTTATTGTCCATCCAGCTAATGTGTCATTGTGTCATTTACTTGTTCTAACCTTCTAAGGCTTCCCTTTGCTGCCCTCCGGCTTGTGCAGGAGGAACAGCCCAGTGGTTATGATAGTGGGTTCTGGAGCCTGAATCCCAGCTCTGCAATTTATCAGCTGCGTGGCCTTGAATGACCTACTTAACCTGCCTTAGATAAGAGAAAATGAGATGACAGAAATGAGAATGATAAATGATAATGAGATAAATTAAATAATGATAATAATAATCCCTACCTTTTATAGCTGTTGTGAGGATTAAAAATTAATATTATGATGATAGCCCTGGCTGGTCTGGCTCAGCGGTTGGACTGTGGGCCTGTGGACCGGAGAGTCCAGGTTCGGTTTCCGCTAGGGGCACATATATATATATTATAATAATAAGGCCCTTGTAATCTGGACCGTGCATACATTTCCAATCTCACCAGTTCTTGTCTCCCCTATAAATCAGCTGAAATACTTTTGCTTTTCTGAGAGCATCAAATTCTCTTTCTCTGTGCTCCCTTCGACCCCTTGATATTGAAGGATATTCATGAGGGAAGGCTTTTGTGACAGTGGCAGTTGCTTGCAGGAGAGACTAAGACTGGGAGCTGGGTATGTGGCTAAACTCCAGGGGAACAATAAAGAGGCCTGAACCAGGGCAGTAGCTGTAGAATAGAATAAAGAGGAAAGATTTGAGAGATGTTTGAGAGAAAGAATATAATCTCCTAAATACTTTTACTGAATGCCTCATAGGAAAGATGTTAGGGGATTGTGGGAATAAAGAGCAGAAGTAGCTTTTCTCCTGTTTTCAAGTATAGAAAATCCTAGGAGTGGCAAACAGACCTAAAAACAAAAATCTGTATGCAGGGAAGGTCAAAGTCAATATAACTGTGGCCCAGTTTCATAGAGAAAGCTCTATATGTATAAAATTAGCAAATTAAAGCATCATTCATTTCTGAGTGCCTCTGTTACCTACCCCAAGGTAGTTTTTTTTTTTTTTATCCTTACCCGAGGACATTTTACAATATTTTGTTCAGACAGAGTGGGAGGAAGAGAGAGAGAGAAACATCTACCTGAAAGGGACACATTGAGTGGTTGCCACCCACATGACCCAACCAGGGCCAGGGACAAACTGCAACCAAGGTACCTGCCTTTAATGGGAACTGAACCCGGTCTCTCCTGACCGCAGGCCGATGCTCTAACTGCTGAGCCAAACTGGCCAGGGCTTGTTTTTTTTTAAAATCCTCACCTGAGGATATTTTTCTATTTATATTCAGATAGAGTGGGAGGGAGACAGAGGGAGAGGAAGGGAGAGAGAAACATCGATGTGAGAGGGACACATCGACTGGTTTTCTCCAGCATGACCCTGACCAGGGCCGGGGACAACTGCAACCAAGGTACGTGCCCTTGGTCGGAATCAAACCCGAGACTCATTGGTCCTCGGGTTGATGCTCTACCGTTGAGCCAAACCAGCCAGGGCTCAGGCTTTTTATTTTTATTATTATTATTTTTTCTTATCCTTACCCGAGGACATTTTTAAATTTTTTGTTCAGATAGAGTGGGAGGGAGAGAGAGGGAGAGAGAGAGAAACATTGACGTGAAAGGGACACATTGAGTGCCTGCCTCCCACACGACCCAACCAGATCCGGGGATAAACTGCACCTGAGGTACGTGCCCTTAGCAGGAACCGAACCTGGGGCTCTCTGGACCTCAGGCCGACGCTCTAACCACTGAGCAAAACTGGCCAGGGCAGAGCTCAGTCTTTTTTTTTTTAAATGTTTTTATTGATTTTTTAGAGAGAGGGGAAGGAAAGAGAGATAGAAACATCGATCAGCTGCCTCTTGCATGCCCTGCACTGGGATCAGGTATGTGCCCCGACCAGGAATCAAACCCAGCCCTCTCAGTCCATGGGATGATGCTTAATTCACTGAGCCACCAAGGCTCTTTTTAAATTCTGAAATATTTTATTTGGTCAAAGCACACTACAGTATATTTATTTACTAAACCTCACCTGAGGATATTTTTCATTTATTTCTAGATAGGAGCAGAAAGGGGGTGGGGGGGAGAGAGAGAAACATTGATGCAAGAGAGACACATCGATTGATTGCCTCCCACATGACCCTAACAGTGACCTGCAACCCAGGTATTTGCCCTTAACTGGGAAATGAACCCGTGACTCTTCAGTCCTTGTACCAAGGCTCTAACTGCTGAGCCAAACCGGCCAGGGCACAACCCACCAATTTCAGAAGCAGTATAGTGTAGAGGTTTAGACTTAGCATCCCCTAATCTTGAACAAGTTATTGAGTTCTCTTAGTCCATATCAAGCTATCATATAGCTATCATATCAAGATGAACGAGACTGGAATGTGGGGGAGAGAGAAGGGATGTGTGGGTATGGGCAAGATCCTTCAGGGCCCTGTGAGGTACCATAAAGGTTTGGACTTTATTGTTAGTCCAGGGGTAAGTTACTGAGATTTTTTTGTCCCAACTTATTACCACTTTTCAATTAAGATGTAAATGCAGGCCTGGCCAGTTAGCTCAGTGGTTAGAGCGTCGGCCTTCGGTCAGGAGAGACCTGGATATGGTTCCCGCTAAGGGCACGTACCTCTGTTGCAGTTTGTCCCTGGCCCTGGTTGGGTCGTGCAGGTGGCAGCCACTCGATATGTCCCTTTCACGTTGATGTTTCTCTCTCTTTCTCTCTCTCTCCCTCCCCCCACTCTATCTGAACAAAATATGGAACAACGTCCTCGGGTGAGGATAAAAAAAAAAAAAAAAAGGATGTAAATGCAAAGATCCTAAGTGTTGAGTTCCATGTTTTGAGAATTGTATACATCTGTGTTGTTGTTCAGACAGAGTGGGAGAGAGAGAGAGAGAAACATCATTGTGAGAGGGACACATCGAGTGGTTGCCACCCACACAACCCAACCAGGGCCGGGGACAAACAGCAACAGAGGTACGTGCCCTTAGCAGAACCGAGCCTGGGTCTCTCTGGACCGCAGGCCGATGCTCTAACCGCTGAGCTAAACCGGCCGGGGCTACAGAACATTTCTACCAACCCAGAAAAGTTCTGCCTGTCTCCTTCCAGTCAGTTCTCCCCTTTCCACAGTACTGAAGGGCTTAAGTGCTATACTGTGTGTGCGTTCTGAAGGGATTACTCTGGCTGCTGCCCAGAGGATCGCCTGAGACCGGCAAGGAGAGTAAGGCACAGGCAAGAGCTGACTGTTTACACTAAGGTCGCCTAGCAACCAGAAGCGTTGTTCGAGGGTTGACAGCTCAGCTATGGGGGAAGGCGTCCCACGCCCCGCCCCACTTGATCCAGGCCCCGCCCTACCCCGCTCTGCGTAGGAGCCTCACGTCAGGGGGCGGGCACAAGCTCCTTATTGGTCAGTTCTCCGGAAGCGATAGGATTCGGAATCTCCCAATGGCTGCGTGAAGGTGCGCGGTGCGAGGCCGTGGGGCGGGGCGAGGCTGGGCCGCGCGGCGTGGGCGCACTCACTTCACGCTGGACTGAGATCCCCTTGTGCTGAGCCTTAGTTTCCCCATTTTTCAGTAGCGGAGCATGCTCCGCACGGGGCACTGCAGGCCTGACCACACAGCCACGTTGCCGGCCAGAGGGTTGTCCCAACGATTGGGACAGGACGGAGGGCTCTTGGGGACCCCACAGCCCCAGGTGCGTGACTGACCCTCCTGTTCCCAGAGACCCCAGCGCAGGCCAGGATGTTCGTCTTGGTGGAGATGGTGGACACTGTGCGGATCCCCCCGTGGCAGTTTGAGAGGAAGCTCAACGACTCCATTGCCGAGGAGTTGAATAAGAAGTTGGCCAACAAGGTACTGGCAGGGCCCACGGGACCGCGGGTAAGCGTTGGCACCAGAGGGCCCTGGACTGCCCACCCTCATGCTGCAGGCCTGGCCTTGGTCATGCCAAGCCTTGGCTTTGGGCAAGTAGCTTATTTTAGAACTCGGTTTTCTCATCTATACATGGTAATTCTTTTTTTTTTTAATCCTCACTGGAGGAAATTTTTGCATTTATCCTCAGAGCAGGAGGGAGAGAGGGGGAAAGAGAGAGAGAAAACATCAACGTGAGAGAGACACATCGACTGGTCGCCAGCCACACCACCCCAACCGAGGCTGGGGACAAATTGCAACCGAGGTATGTGCCCCTGGCGGGAACTGAACCCCAGTCTCTCTGGTCCACAGGTCGATGCTCTAACCACTGAGCAAAACTGGCCAAGACTGCCCTGGCCGGTTTGGTTCAGCGGTTAGAGCGTCGGCCTGTGGTCCAGAGAGACCCGGGTTCGATTCCCACTAAGGGCATGTACCTCGGTTGCAGTTTGTCCCCGGCCCTGGTCGGTTGTGCGGGTGGCAGCCATTCGATGTGTCCCTTTCACATCGATGTTTCTCTCTCTCTCTCTGTTCCTCTCTCTCCCTCCCACTCTACCTGAACAAAAAATGGAAAAATGTCCTCGGGTGAGGATAAAAAACAAACAAACTGGCCAGGACTGTACATGATAATTCTTATATTACAAGGTCGTTGGAGGAAATTAAAGGGGAAATTGTGTTTGAGAAAGGCCCTTGTAACTGCAAAGTGCTAGATTCCACACTTCCAAATTACTTTGCAATCTTAGGTAAGCATTTACCCACTCTGGGCCTCGGTTTCCATTTGTAAAGTAGAAATACTAATTGCTGTCCAACCATACATTATTTTTGTGATGATGGATGCTCAAGGGGTTTATCTGTTCATTCCTGAAAATACAAAAAATGGTATGTGCACCATTTATGTGCCAGGCCAATGTGCCTTAATAACAACTCACCAGAGGGCTTCCCACTGCCTTTCCTGTAGTAACCTTCCCTCCTCAGTTATTGTGTCCTATCACTATTTCCTTCTTAGAACTTCACTTACTGCACTCTATTTTATTTGTTCATTGGGTCACCATTTTTCTATTTTCTCTCCATGAGAGCAGGGACTTTTGTCTTCTTCCCCATAGTATCTTCCATATTAGGCAGAGCCTGGCACAGAATAGATGTCCCATAATTGTCTGTTGATTGAATGAATGACACAGACAAGGTTCTACCCTGTAGTGTGGTGGGGAAAGCAGATACCAAGGAGAGGGTCCCACAGTTGAGTGTGATGACAATTTGAGGTAAAGGCTGTAAAAGACAAGTGTTGACAAACTTATGGATTAAAGGAACTTCTACAATGAGGGAGACAAGCTGCTTTGTTAGGTCCAGGAGGAGCTAACTAGAGGATTCTTTTTCATGGTGGGAGGGGCTGGGCAGAGAGAAGAGCTGTGCAGGCAGAGAAAACAGCATTTGCAAAAGCCCCGTGGCCTTTGGAGGGAATATTACACCTTCATGGTATGGCCTGGGCAGACTGCCAAGGTTGCAGGGGCCAGGCCACACAGGGCCTGCAGGACTTCATGGGGTATTATTGGTCTTTATCCATAGAACAGCAAGAGGTGATATGTGGGGAGCAGCCAGCAAGGGGAAGATTGGCTGGCTTTAGACAGGAGGCAAGTCCCTTCCATAGAGGCTGAGCTCACAGAAGGGAGTGTGCAGAGCTGGGGAGTTGGTGGTGGTAGAAAGAACTCATGGATTCCTTGGTGGGTGGCTTCAGGTTACTTTGTGATGTAGAAAGTGAGGGGGTCTGTGGGGGGATGAAGTGTGACCATTGTGGAGAGAGAAGGTGTGCAAAGTCCAAGGAAAGAATGTAGTCTCTTTGTGGCATGGGTCCTTCAGTGACCTGTTGAGACAAGTTCTTTCTTTCTTTCTTTCTTTCTTTCTTTCTTTCTTCCTTCCTTCCTTCCTTCCTTCCTTCCTTCCTTCCTTCCTTCCTTCCTTCCTTCCTTCCTTCCTTCCTTCCTTCCTTCCTTTCTTTCTTTCTTTCTTTCTTTCTTTCTTTCTTTCTTAAAATATGTTTTTATTGATTTTTACGGAGAGAGGAAGGGGGAGAGAAAGAAGGAGAGAGAGAGAGAGAAACATCCATGTGAGAAAACATTGATTGCATGCCCCTTACTGGGGATCCAGCCTGCAACTTGGACCAGGAATCAAACTGGTGACCGTTTGGTGCACGTGACAGTGCTCAACCAACTGAGCCACACTAGCTTGAGCAAGACAAGTCTTTCTATATTTGAATCATTGAGTCATTTGAGAGGAGCCCAAATAGAGGGTCCATAGTCTGGCTAAGGGCATAGAGCTTAAGCTGAACTCTGCCTCACCACTGTGAGGTCTGACCAGAACTCTGAGTTCTGAGCTTCCTGCTAATTCTTTTTTTTTTATCCTCACCTGAGGACATTTTTCCATTTTTTGTTCAGATAGAGTGGGAGGGAGAGAGAGAGAGAGAAACATCGACGTGAAAGGGACACATCGAGTGGCTGCCACCCGCACGACCAATCAGGGCCGGGGACAAACTGCAACCGAGGTACATGCCCTTAGCGGGAACCGAACCCAGGTCTCTCAGGACCGCAGGCTGGCGCTCTAACCGCTGAACCTAACCAGCCAGAGCTTCTTGCTAATTCTTGAACAGTCCTGCAACATCTCTCAGTGGGGAGTAATGATGCTGGTGGCAGATTAGCTGACACCAAGCAAGTGGCCAGTTGTTCAGAGCACCATGGGGTGGGGATGGGACATGGGATGTTCTCTGCCCAGTCTTGGGACCTTGGCCATGTGTCACTCTGCCAGCCTCAGTCCCTGTGGCTATGTCTGTTTGTCTGAGACTGTGAGCGGTACAGAGATTAGCTGTGGTTCTGATGTTCACTGAGCTGTGACCTCTAGCATGGACTTAGAAAATGTAGGTTTAGCCCTGGCTGGTTCTGCTCAGCGGTTAGAGTGTTGGCCTGCAGTCTTGGAGAGACCCGGGTTTGGTTCCAGCTAAGGGTACGTACCTCAGTTGCAGTTTGTCCCCGGCCCCGGTTGGGTCGTGTGGGTGGCAACCACTCGATGTGTCCCTTTCACATCGATGTTTCTCTTCTCTCTCTCTCTTTCTCCCTCCCATTCTATCTGAACAAAATATCAAAAAAATGTCCTTGGGTGAGGATAAAAAAAAAAAAAAGAAAGAAAATGTAGGTTTAACTGGAGGTTCCCCTGCTACTGTCCTTATTAGTAATAATAATGATCCTTGATTGATTGTTATTATTTCTAGCATGTGAACTGGGTACTGGGATAGGGGTTTCCCATCCATTCTCTATTTAACAACCTTGCAACCTGGTGTGTCCATTTTTGCAGATGGGGAATCTGAGGCTCAGAGAGGTCACCTTGGAGGTCACACAGGGAGTGGTGGAGCTGGCATTGTAACCTAGATCTGCCTCGTCACCAAAGGCCCTTTTCTTTCCAGAGCTCTACCTCCTTCTGACTTTGCTTACTCCTGTGCTTACTTTATGCAGTGCCTCAACTAATTTCCAGCTGTAAAACTGGGGTGATCACACCTGCCTTGAGGTGGTGGGTCTCAATAGAGACGGCCTGGGAGCTGGGCCTTGAGTTCACTGTGTGTGTGTGTGTACACTAATACACATAGGTCGTGTACAACGTGGGACTTTGCATCTGTCTGTTTGACATCACCAAACTGGAGGATGCCTACGTGTTTCCTGGGGATGGCGCATCACACACCAAAGGTGGGTACCCTCTCCTCTTGGGGCATTGGATCTTTGAGGCTCAGTTTTCAGGGGTGGGAGTCCTGGTCTGGGGGTTGGGAAACCTAGGTCCTAGCCCTGACTGCCAAGAATTGACTAGGTGATGATGTGGAGAATCTTCTCTCTGGGTCTTTGTTTCTCATCTATAAGAAATGGGAGGTGAACAAGGTGATTCTCAAGGACTCTCCAGCTCTGAGATTGTGGCTATGTCTGGGCCCCCTTTGGTCTTTTCTGTTCCTGAGTCCTGCTTTTTGCCTGGTCCTCAGGCTGGTCAGTCGGGGGGGGGGGGGCAGGCGGAATAGACAGGCAGAGACACTTCGAGATATCGTTGCTGGATTGAAAGTGGAGAGCAGAGGTGAGTGCAGCTACCTTTCCTGGGGGAGGCCTGGTTGGGGAACTTTGAGGGGCACTAGAACATAACTGGTTAAAAGTGTGACCTCCAGCCCTGGTTGGTTTGGCTCAATGGTGGTTAGAGTGTTGGCCCGAGGACCAAAGAGTCGCAGTTTGATTCCAGTCAAGGGCACATACCTTGGTTGTGGTTTGTCCCGGCCCTGGTTGGGTTCGTGCGGGAGGCAACCAGTTGATGTGTCTCTCACATTGATGTTTCTCTTTCTCCCTCTCCCACTCTGTCTGAAAATAAATGGAAAAATAGCCCTGGCCAGTTTGCTCAGTGGTTGGAGCGTCGGCCTGTGGACCAGAGAGACCCGGGTTCGGTTCCCGCTAAGGGCACGTACCTCGGTTGCAGTTTGTCCCCGGCCCTAGTTGGGTCGTGCAGGTGGCAGCCACTCGATGTGTCCCTTTCACGTGGATGTTTTTCTCTCCCTCCCATTCTAACTGAACAAAACAGAAAACAATGGAAAAATGTCCTTGGGTGAAGATTTAAAAAAAAAGCGTGACCTCCGAGTTCAAATTCCAACTGTGCCACTTATTCACTGTATGTCCTGAGCAGAATATGTAACCTCTCTGCCTTGTCTCATCTGTAAAATGCAGCTAACAGTAGTTTTTATATTGTGTGCTGTTGTGAGGATTACTAAGTTATACATGCAAAGCTCTCAGGACAGGACCTTGGTACATAGTGAATGCTTAGTGCTCATTGATTTGAACTTTTTCTCCTGAATCTGTGGGTCAGCTAGGTGGTCCCTTCTGGGCTGGTTTGGCCAGGATTGGAGAGTGAAGGGTGGTCTCACGTGTTTGGTGCTTGGCAGACTGGCTGGTGGTGGGGCAAGGGCTTCAGCTGGGATGGCTCATCTCTGTTCCACGTGGTGTTACCTTTCCTTAGGCTAGATTGGGTAAGAGAGCCCCTACTTATATTCCATTAGCTAAAGCAGGTCACATGGCTGAGGGCAGCATCAGGAGATGGAGAAATGCAGTGACATTGCAAAGGGGTGTGCACCAGGGGTGGGAGGGGTGGCTCCCAGACCTGAGGGAAGGAGGGAGAAGTAGAGGAAGGGTCACCTTGAGAAGAACTCTCAGGGAGGGAGTAGGGCATTTTTCACTCTCCTTCCTGGACCCAGCCAAATCGGAACCAGAGGGCAAAGGGCCATTTAGGTTGTTCAGGGCTAGTCAGAGTCTGGACACGAGACTTACTACGTTTGCCCCAAACTCACTGAGTCACAATCTGTGCGGGTGGGGCCTGAAGACTGTTTAACCAGGAGCCAGGTGATTCTCACCCAGGGTCACGTTTGAGGAGCCCTGCCCCACCCCATACTGCTCAGCTTCTTGGCACAGGCATGGAGATGAATGTGCCATGTGGCTGCCTGGTGTCTGTGTCCAGGGATCCAGAGCCTCAATGAGCTCCCATGGCTGCTGTCGTGCTCTGCGGAGAGCCTGAGAAACGGGCTGTTTGGAGGGACTAGGAGCAGTTTCATTAGCAGAAAAATAAGATGGTACCACGAGGGCCTTGTCTACGGAGAAGGGTGCTCCCTGGGCACAGGTTCTTATGGTCCTGCCCCCGCCCCGTAAGTCCAGTGCCCAAACCGGCCTGGCACAGACTCGATAGAGGCTCTGTGGGGATTTAGTAAACTGAACTGATGTTGTGTCATATGGGGGACAGGGTTTTTCCATCCTGTGGGTAAGTGACCCTTGGCTGCCCTCATTTGTTCTCCATGAGGTCAGATGAGGCCCTGTCATCCTGATGATGGCTTAGATGGCTCCTGTTTGTCTCCTCATAGACAGAGAGGGGTTACCCGCTGCCACTTCTCCTTCCCCCATGCCTTCCTGCCCAGTGGAGCCACGAGGAGACAGCCTGGCAGAGAGCTGGGGGCCACGTGGCTCTGCTGTCCCTTGGCAGACCAGGTGGCTGAGGGTGCTGGTGGCAGAAGCCTGTGTTTGAGGATAAACCTGTCTGAGGAAGGCAGCTTGAACCCCATGGCCCTGTCTGGTGGGCCCCATGGTGGAACAATGCAGAATAGCTGTGTGGTCGTGAGCAGGTTACGCAGCCACTCTGTGCAGTAGTAATGTGGCAGCTGTCATGGTTAGATCGAGATAGTCCCTCAGTGACCAGCAGGGGGCAGCTACATAGTTACTCTCTAGCCCAGTGGTTCTCAACCTTCCTAATGTTGTATGTGGGCGTAGTATCTGCACGTGGGCAGACCCGCCTGGAGACAGAGGAGCGGTGTCTGGTTCCTCAGACCATTGGAAATATGTGTTTCCGATGGTCTTAGGCGACCCCTGTGAAAGGGTCGTTTGACCCCCAGGTTGAGTCTAGTCAGTGGTGAATGCCCTCCCCTCCTTCAGTGCTTGAAGCAAGGAGCAGGAGTAACAAGGTGATGGCTTCGCCAGGCCCCGGGGTCAGAGTCTGATGTGGGCGCAGACTTCACTTGATGCTTTCTTTCCTTCAGTCCAGTAGATGGGGGCCACCTAGGGTAGGGACTGAGAACCCACAGAAGCGTTTCTATTAGGTTGTCAGCTCTGTCCCTCTTCCTTAATTTCACGATTTTTTTTTTTAAGAGAGGAAGGGAGAGCCCTGGCCGGTTTGGCTCAGCGGTTAGAGCATCGGCCTGCGGTCTGGAGAGACCCGGGTTCGGTTCCCGCTGAGGGCACGTACCTTGGTTGCAGTTTGTCCCCGGCCCTGGTTGGTCGTGCGGGTGGCAGCCGCTCGATGTGTCCCTTCACATCAATGTTTCTCTCCTCTCTCTCTGTTCCTCTCTCTCCCTCCCACTCTACCTGAGCAAAGGATGGAAAAGTGTCCTCAGGTGAGGATAAAAAAAATAAAAATAAAAAATAAAATAAGAGAGGAAGGGAGAAAGAAACATCAATGAGAGAGAAACATCAACATTGATCAGCTGCCTCCTGCATGTCCCCCATCAGGGATCAAGCCCACAACCTGGGCATGTGCCCCAACCAGAATCGAACTGAAGACCTCTTGGTGCAGGGTCGATGCCCAACCACTGAGCCACACCAGCCGGGCATATTTTAGGGCATTTTTAGCATTCCTTTCAGGTCAGAGCTATGTCTGGGGCACACTTCACTGGTCACTGGGAGCTTTTGCCAGGTGCTTCTGTCCTTTTTAGAATTTAAAGGAGAGAGCCTGGAGGAAGGTTGGAATTGAATTTGGAGTCACAATGGCCCAGAATCTGGGCTCAGGTGTGACTTATCTGATGGATTTGGGAGCCAGCTCTCAATTCTGGGGCCACTGCTGCTGGCCTCTTATGAGGGCCATGCTGTGGCCTTGTAGGGGACAGCCTGAGGGTCCCTCTGGCTCAGCTGCCAGGTCTGGGCCCACAAGGGGACTCCGCATGGACTGCCAGGCAGGTCCAGTGTGCTGGCGAGTAAGGGCTGTCCTGGTTGAAGCAGCCATTCCTCGCGTGCATTCTCATCACTGACGTGCTTTCTTCTTTCCAGTTCATTTTCGCTACGTGGTGTTCCATCCCTTCCTGGACGAGATTCTGATTGGAAAGATCAAAGGCTGCAGCCCCGAGGGAGTGCACAGTAAGGGTGGCCCTGGCTCCTCAGACGAGCCCCGGGAGCACGGGGAGGGCAGGGGACAGTGGCTGAAGCAGTGGCCAGGCTAGATGGCCTCCCTTTAGCTTCTGCGCTGCGCCACGTGGTCAGGGGAGGGTCAGATATAGAAGCAGAATCTTCCTACAGTGGCAGAGAGCTTGTCAGTGAGAATACTCAGCCTCCTCTTGCATTCACGTAATAGTGAGGACCTCAGCCACAGCGAGGCTTCACCACGAGGCCAGACCTCACGACCTCAGGGTGGGCCCTGGAAGTGGCAGAGGTGACTCAGGGTCATCAGCACCCACTGTTCCATGTTGTGTGCGGTGTCCATCTCAGTCAGGTTTTGGTGGCTCAAAACCTGAGGGTGTGTGAGTGGCATAGGCAGAGGCCCATGTGGACCTCTGAGGTTGGGGAGTGGCCCAGATTTCCATGGTGACATCTGCCCCATAGGCAGCACACATCAAGGGGCTTGTCTCTTGAGTATCCAGACCCCTCAGTGTTGAACTGTCCACTGCAAGCCCCTGTCCCATGCTGTCACTTTCTTCCAGTCTCCCTAGGGTTCTTCGATGACATCCTCATCCCCCCAGAATCACTGCAGCAGCCAGCCAAGTTGTATCCTCCCAAGGTCAGAGTGGGTCACAGGAGCTCAGGCCTTTCTAAAGGGCGATCCTCACTCTTCGATGTGGCCCTGGGTCCTATGATCTGATGCTGCCCGTCTCTGTGCCCACCCCACCAGCCTGCACTTATGATCTGGAAGCACTGACCTGCCTGTGCTTCCCACTGACCATGTGCTGTCTGGGCCGTTGGGCCTGGTTGTGTAGGTTGCACACTATAGTAAGGGTACTGCCCACTTTCGGTTCACTTTGTTTAGACTGTCCCTGCAGAAGTCTTCTCAGATCATTTCCCTTGAGAGCTTTGCCCCAACAGGCTCGCCTCCCGTCCTCCTTGGTCTGCAAGTGGTAGCATCAGCTAAATTTGAGAGCAGAGCTTGAGTGCGCCTCTCAAGGTGGGAAGGACCACAACCTCTCCTTGCTGGGTCTGACAGCCTGTGCACCCTCTGAGGCCAGCTGCCAAGTGCAGAATCAGCTCCACCACCCACCAGCTGTGACCAACCTCAGTGCTTCAGCTAGACTGTGAAGGTCCTGGGCTGGGTTGTTGCCCTCTGCTGGTCTCCCCCATTGTCCCTGTCCCAGCCCTTGGCCTGCTGCCCTGCAGTGTCTGTTTCAGTACATCCTCACTGAGACTGCACACTGGGAGAAACCCCAGGGCTGCCACTAGAGGGCAGTGTGGCTCTCCAGTGTGGTCTCTGTAGGGAGACCAGGGGTTGACTACCCTCACTGGTTCTGCAGATAGTTCTGGCTGAGCCTATGCAGGGCCAGGATCTGTGTGTGATTCCAGAAAACCTGACCCAGCCCTGCTGGTCCTCTCACGAGCTGTGGGCCCTCAGGCACGTGACCTCCCATGCCACCACCAACCCCTTGAAACTGAGGAAGCACTTGCGCTGCCTGGTCAATGTCACAGGTGTGGATGGAAAGATGTGGAATCGCACTGTGCACAGAACACAGGATAGCTTGAGCTAACCCTGGAGGTCAGACCTGCGGGTCCTGTGGAAGCACTCTCTGTGTTTACCTCTTTCCCACAGCCCTGTGAGGTGGGCCTGCCGCAGCCCCCATTTCACAGATGGGAACTGAGGCACTGAGAGCTTGGTCACAGCTGGTGGGTGGGGCCGATTCTGCACTGGCCTCTGAGAGGGTGCACAGGCTGAGTCAGATCCGGCAGGGAGGGGCCTCAGGCAGCGACTGGCTGTGGTCATTCCCATCCTGAGAGATGACTCAAGCTCTGCTTTCAAGTCTCCTTCCTTGATGACCTGAGGAAGCCTGTGGGTGCTTGGCTGGGACCCCTGTGTTCCCCACCTGGGTCCTGGCCCAGTCTCACCACTTGCACCTGGGACTGGATTTTCCCGGGGGTGGGTCCTGTGGGAGGAACCCCCAACCCTCAGGAGCTCCCCCATGGCCCAGTTGTTGCCTTGACCTGGGCCCTGCCCAGCGATGATGCAGAGCAGGTGTGGGTGTGGGAGTATGAGACGGAGGAAGGAGCCCACGACCTATACATGGACACTGGTGAGGAGATCCGCTTCCGCGTGGTGGACGAGAGCTTTGTGGACACATCCCCCACCGGGCCCAGCTCCACCGAGGCCGCCTCTACCAGTGAGGAGCTGCCAAAGAAGGAGGCTCCATACATGCTTGTGGTGAGATGTCCCGATGTGCTGCTGAAACCACAGCGACTGTGTGGTGTGGGAGCTACTTCCTTGAGTGGTGACTTGGGTCCTGCTCCTAGAACCCCCTCCCAGCAGGTCAGGGTACAGGTCCCTGGGCAGTCTTGGGCAGACACTTCTCCCTGAGGAGCCTTGGGGCAGTAGTCCTTGTGAGGTGTAGGCCAGTGCAAGAGAGGGACGGCCCAGGCTGATGACAAGGCCACTGATAATGGGCGAAGGAAACTAAGGAGGGGACTTGGGAGGAGTCAGAGTCCCAAGAGCAAGGGTGGGGCTTCAAGGAGGGTGACCCTCGGGGCAACTCCCACACCAGACCCAGATGGGCCTGAGGTGACAGGGATGCCGTGACCAGCCAGATCTGACTTGGATTCGTTTTGCCTCTTAACCTCATGAACTCAGACACATGACCACAGTGGGGCTTCAGGGGCCCTCTAGTCGGGTTTCCTGGTGACATGAGGGCCCTGGGTGGTTCACTTCAGGACAGCTGTGTCTGTCAGAAATCCAGATGGCCCAGGGCATCCCCTCTACATGTATTTGGTGGCTGGGGCTCAAGGTCACTAGGCCTTTCTGGCTGGAAGAGACCACAGGTGGCTCGGGAGGGCATGCCCATGACTAACCTGCTGGTGCCTGTGTTTGGACAGGTCTGGGGACGAGGAAGGGAGCCTGACGCCGAGGCCTGGGGGCCAGGGGCTGCGTCCTTAGTAAACCAGCACTTTCCTTCCTCAGGAGCTGGGCCGGAGGGGAGTCTGGCTGTGTGCTCCTCTGTGCCAGCTGGGCACCCTGAACAAAGGGCTCCCTTTGCCTCCTGTCTGACTTGGCTCAAGCCCTGAAGGTAGATGAAATGTGCCTGTTCTTTCTCTCCCTGGCAGGGATCCATTAGTGAGCCAGGCCTGGGCCTTCTCTCCTGGTGGACCAGCAGCTAGCCCTGGGGCTCGACCATGGACCAGCCCTCTGGAAGGTGCCAGAAAACAAGAGCAGCCTCATGATGCCCAGAAGCAGTCTGTGGAGTCTGTGCGGAGTCCGTGCGGGAGGAAACTGTTGGTTTGCCAGCCTGTCTCCTCCCTGCCGCCCTGGCCTTGCTTCTCCTCCTGAAGTCCACTCAGGACAGCAGAGACATTTAATAAACAATGGCGACTGCAGATGAGCCACCCCTATAGCATTGGCTGCTGTCACTAAGGTCATTGGGTTGCCACGGCTGGGACAGCATGTCCTTCCTCTCTTCAAATCACTTGTGGAGACGGCCCCCCACAATGGCAGGACTTGGGGCTGAGAGATCTAGGCTGCCTCAGGCCCGGCTTTTGGGCTGGTTGAGCTGGGTGGCTCCTTAAGGTAGCAGGAGAGGCTGGCTCAGGGCAGCTGCCTCGGGCCGTGGAAGCTAGCAGGTGCTGAGAAGGGTCTGAGGGCTGAGACAAGCACCTTCCTTCCCACTAGCATGTGGAAGGTGGAGGCTGTGGGCTTGGCTGGCTCAGGGTGAGGACAGGTGACCAGCTATGTCATGCTCCCCCCCCCCCATCAGCACAGCAGGAAGCTTGGGGACAGCTGTCACTCTTAGACCTCGACCTCACTAGGAACACCCTACCCTGTGGGTCTACCACCCCGATTCTGGCATGAGGACAAGCACCCCATTGTTTATTCAGCAGAATGGTTTTGCCAGGTTCGCCCACTTCTGCTGGGACTAGGATACTGGTTTTGTATAAGTCTTGGTGAAGGAGCCCCCTGCCCTGGCCTTTTGGGCCCACAACTAGCACCTGAGCATGGAGGTGTGGGTAGGTCAGTGGGTATGGCTTGGCCGGGGGGGGGGGGGGGGGCAGCTGTGGAACAGGTGCCTGCCACTGCCTTGAGCTGAGGGCCAGGAGACAGTGTGCATCATGAACTAGCTGTGACTTTGGACAGGGTGGCCTGTGCCCACTTGTGTTTGGAGGCCTGAGATGCCCAGAGGAAGGGGAGGCAGCAGCATTGAAGTCTGGCACAGCCCTGGTTTTAGCTGCAAATGAGGGGAAGGCCTTGCCCTAGGAGACTCCACCTGGAGCCCAGCACGGGAGAGGGTCTGAGAATTGGGGAGCGTGTGGCTCACGCCTCCTTCACTGCAGTGACAACCAGCTGTGGCGTGGTTATTGAGGGCCTCCACCAACTTTGGTGAAAAGACCCCCCAAATCCTGAAGTTGATAACAGCACAGATCACCACACACATAGGAACAGTCACTGGATGTGGATTCTTATTTTTCTTGCAAGACCAAAACGTTCTTTAAAATCCTTCAGCCACCAGTGAAATGATCAGACAGGAGTAAAACTTTAGATAGGAGTCTTGTCATCAAAAATAAACACAGTTGCATGGAGGTGCTCAAGATCTGAACCGAACTAAAAACGGGAAGGCAGACGAACTGCCCTCTAACCATGGGTCACTCCGTGGGCTGAGAGCGGGCGGCAGGATGCCACGGCTGGGTTGGATCAGATCTGGTTCTGATGACTTGAGAACTGCACTGTGACACCAGAGCTGGGTCTGAGGAGCAGGGCGGGTGGCAGTGGCCGAGCGGGACCTTACTGCTGCAGCTCCTTCATTCTGTTGAGAGCGCTGCCAGCGCGGAACCACTCGATCTGGGTCTCGTTGAAGGTGTGGTTCAGGGAGATGGTCTCCTGGGTCCCATTGGGGTGTTTGATGATACATTTCAGGGGCTGCAAGAGAGGAGGCAGGTGTGGGTGGAGTGGCTCTTAGGAACATAGCCCTGGGTTCTGCTGGAGGGTCAGGAAGGCAGGGCCCCACCCTGGGGCCTTGGGTGCCAGCAGGTAAACCAAGTCCTAGGCCAGGTCTGGGTCTCGGCAGTGGTGGTAAGACCTGACTAATGTAACTCCTGAGACCAAGTGGTCCTGCTGGGCATGAGCTGTTAGCCCTGAGTGCCTGGCCTGGGTTAATGCATGAACAATAAGGGCCTGAGCTGGCTCCACCCTCATTTCTGGGGAGGCACTTTCTTCCCTCCCTGGAGAATTTAAGGGCCCAAAGGCTCATGGGAGGAGGTGCAGGTGTGGCCAAGCATAGAAGGGGAAGCAAGGTGGCTATCCCCTCCGCTCCCCCCTCAGGAGGGCCCTTGGGGAGATGGGAGGGCCAGCCTGCCTTCCCTCCCTGGCTCCCTGACCTTGCCAGGGGCAAAATCCTTCAGGCCCTGGATGGTCAGCTTGTCCACGGGGTGAATCTTGTTGTAGTCAGCTGGGTCAGCGAAAGTGAGGGGTAGCAGGCCCTGCTTCTTCAGGTTGGTTTCTGGAAAGCAGAGAGCACACTTAGTCCAGAGTGGGCAGGTCCCTGTCCCCTTTCTCTGTGCAGGATCCTCACTAGGCCAGAGAGCTTCCTTTTCTAAGACCAGTTAGGGCTCTGGGAGACACCACAGTCCTACTACCAGAGGACAGACCTGGAGCAGTGACAATGAGGCTCAGGTCGGCTCACCCCCAGTGCGCAGCCTCACAGGGCCCTGCACAGTGCGTGTTCTTGTGTCTCTGTAAAGCCCTCTAGATAGACAGTCACCAGCAGAAAAACCCTTTGACCATGTGCCCTGCATTTCAACTGTTTAGGTCCACAAGTTGGGAAGCAGGATCAGTGCTTGGCAGAGATGGGAAGCTGTGGGGTCGGACTCTACACAAATCTGAAGGGGCAGAGGCTGGCAGGTTGGAAAACCAGAGCCATGGGCACAGCCTGGAAAGCAGGCATACGGCTCTAGGCCCACCTCGGCCACTAGGTGACCTTGGGCTGCCAGTGATGGGGAGTGGATGGGGCTGGGCCGGGCTGCAGCTCACCGTGGATCCTGGCGAAGCTCTTGGTGATGATGGCCCGTCCCCCGAGGTGGCGGGGCTCCAATGCCGCATGCTCCCGGCTCGAGCCCTCGCCATAGTTCTCGTCTCCAATCACCACCCACCGGATGCCATGTTTCTGTCAGGCAAGGGAGGAGTGAGGTATGAGGGAGAGGAGGACCTGGCCCCTGCCCACCCTACCCCTGGGTTTCCTGAAGTTCACAGGTCAAGGGGTGGTTGGAGAGGCCTCTCTTCACCTGCTCCCCAAGGGCAGGTGAAGTCAGAGGTGAATCAGGCCCAAACCAGGCCCTGAAGGACAGAGGTAATGAGACATGGGCCCTGCCTACAGTGGGCAAGGGGAGGTGCAACCCACCCATCGGTGCTCAGCATGCAAGCAGGCTGGGGTGGAGGACCAGTGTGGGAGCAGAAACCAGAGTAGTGACCATACAGTGGAGGTGACACACACGGGATTGCCTCCATGGCACCGAGACATCACTCAACTGCAGAGCCATGGTGTGGGCTCCTAGGTGGAAAGCACCCCTTCCCTGGACCACCCACTCTGCCCCACCCAGACACCAGGAGGTGCCAGAGGACCCCCACTCCTGTCCCCACTGATTGCCCACCTTGTAATAGCGGGCAGTGTCAGGGACAGGACCAAACTCCTGGGTGACAGCATTGCGCACAGAGTTGGCCTTGCCATTTTCAATGTTGATGGCACCAATGAGCAGGTTGTTGGAGATGTTGTCCAGGTGCCCACGGAACTTGAGCCAGGGGCCGGCAGCTGAGATGTGGTCTGTGGTACACTTCCCTTTGACCTTGGTGGGTGGACAGGGTGGACAGAGTTTGGAGCGTGGCCCCTTACTGTGGATTAGGGGAGAAGCCCTCTAGGGGCAGGCAGCGGGACCCAGGAAGGGTGACAAAAGAAGCAGGTGCAAGACACATTGTCTGCAGTCCTGACATTTCACCTCTGGCCAAAAAGGCTCAGGCACGGCCACCAGCCAGCCGTCAAAGGCTTTGGGAGTGAGAGCTCCAGGAAAGGACACTCGAAGGTGGCGGAGGCCAGACAGGGCGGATAGGAAGGTCTGCTTGATTACCCTTCGGGCCTAGGCCCTCAGTAAGAGGTGCCCAGGCTGGAAGACCAGGTGGACCTCATGCTGGACACAAAGCAGAGCCAGGGTACGTGTCTGTGTCACTGCCTGCAGACCCCTTAGTAAACAGCACAAATTCATGTCCAACATGGGTCTGAGGCCTCTGGCCACACCACAAAGGCTTGTGTCTGCTCAGCTCCCAAACACAAGCCACACCACTAACGCTCAAGTTTGGGAACAGAGGGGTGAAGACCTGCTGTGCAGGGTCACACATGCCTTTCCTACCCTCCCTATGGAGCATTCACTGCCCACACCCACTGGAGGTGGCCCTTACCAGCTGCAGCCGGATGGCTGAGAGCCCCAGTCAGCAGCTGGCCAGATCCAGCTCTGCCTGGCACAGGGCAGTGAAGAAAGGGACCCTGGGCTGCAGGTGCCCTTGCTCCTCGGCCTCCAAACCTCCCTTCCCACCCCCACCTTGACCTTGCCCTTCTCCTCCCTGTGCCCAGGGGATAACATGTGGTTTCATGGCCTTCCTGCGATCAGGGAAGGGGGCCCTGGCAGGCTGGGCTGCTCTCTACCGGCCCCACGTTGCTGACCTTGATAAGGATTTGAAGGTCCTCCAGGTCTTTGCCATCCCATTTGTCAAAAGGCTCAAGCAGCTGCAGGCGCTGGCTGGTGGGGCTGACGTCCACCCGCTGCCCACTGCTGTCCTTGGGAGGGTGCTGGTAAGTGTCTTGCCCAGGGTCGAAGTCCTGCAATGGGACAGGAACATGTTGGGTGTTGAATCCTCAGTCCCCTCTATCACAAAAGGCAAGCTCCCCAGGCCTGAAGCTCTTCCCTCCCAGTGAATATAGCTGCTTCATTCTTGCTAACGGTGCCACCCATGCCTGCCCAGGACAGGCAGGGCTGAGATGCTGGGAAGGAAGTGTCTTGGCCGCACAGCACCAGCCATGGTTTGAGGCCTGCAGGGCTGAGAACAGAAGGCACAGCGCCTGCTCACCATGCGGGGAAGCTCATCTGCATCCGGGGCCTCCAGCTTGAACTTCTTGCCATCCTTGCCTGTCAGGAAGTCAGTCTCGGGGTTGAACTTGAGGGTGCCAGCAATGGCCAGGGCTGTCACAATCTGAAACGAAGGTAGCCAGTTTGCTGGTTAGCACTGAACACCACTCCTGTTCCCCATCACCAGCCAAAGCCTAGATCAAAACTGAGAGTGCAGCCCAGGGGATGTCCAAGTTCTCTGCAGAGGCCGGAGCTGCAGGAATATCTCTGGAACCATGGGCCACTGGCTCTG